TGGGATAGAAGGTGTCAAAACGGAGCCGTGTTTCTTTGCTTCGCGCGTCAAGTTTCCATTGAGCTAGCAGGGCGCAGTCCAGTCATCTGCTCTTAAATGGTCAAGTGTGCATCCACAGATCTGGCAGTGCTTCCTTCACAATGACTGCATGCAAGAGCTATGTAGCGAAGTGGTTGTCCCGTAGAACCCCTCGTTGATGACAATAATTAAATTGACATTTTGACATGTGCTTGAAAATGATCTTTGTTGGCACAGGCCTTGCGCCGATGGCCCTGCATGTTTTAGCGAGCATGGCCAGCACAGCTGGTTTGTTCGCAACAGATCACACAGTGCAGTCTGGTTTGCTCAAGCAACGGAATATCAAACATAAGATGAAGCCGTGTTCTGGCAAGAATACTGACATTGGGCACGAACCGGCTTCAAAATTATGCGAGCCCCGTGCTTGATGCTTGAGACATGGCCGAGACACTATTGACCACCCTGATTCGACGCCATGCTAACAAAGTGAGGTTGGGAAAACACATGCACACAATATTGCGAGAAGATTGCGATTGCATGCAGTATTGAGCACGGGCTGAGGCACTAGGCAGCTATCCTCGACCATACAAACAAAGGATGTTCATAGAAAGGCCTTTGTTTTAATGGTCTTTAGGACCCCAGGGCTATGCACATGGTAACATGGTATATGCTGTTTTGGGTTGATTGCAGCTAGAGCCTAGGCTTCGTATGTTTCCCCTCCCGTCGTCTGTCCGTTTTGTCCACGGGAGAAACCAATTAACCACTTTGGGAGGGGCAAGACAAGTGTACAGCACCAACTCCTTCAAGATGCACGGCACACCCATATGACCACAAGGGTGCTCCAAACAAGGAACCACTCCTGGCTGATAGAGTGGTGCCCCAATTTATACTGTCAGCTCACATTGCGGACGGGACAGGGCCAAGCGCGTAGCTCCAAAAAGGAGCCTACCTTAGAACTGCACCGTAAGCAGAAATTGATCCACGGAGTCACCGGGCCTAAACATGCGCATGAGTCACCCCGACTCCATCCCACTCGAATCGATTCGAGTCGATTCTTAGGTTGCGGATGGTGACATCGAAGCCCTGGGCCATGTCATGAAGACCTTGCGGGAGGCGCGGACGAGCTTTTTCGCTGGACTTTGGTGGACACTTTTTTTTTCGGCCATCGCGAATTAATTGCAGAAGGCAGGTTCCCAACTTGGGATCGGCCTTCCACAAGGCCCGGATCTGAGTCTGGACTTCAGGGAATCAACAGGGCTTGGGGAACCGGAAAAGGAACTCCCTTGGTTCATAGTGAATACCTCACTCGCTATTACAACTGCAACCACCTCCCCGGGTCCCACCCTCCAGGAAGCTGCCCCAGCAAACCTCACGCCAAACTCCCCCCGGCTCAGCAACCAACAGACGAGGCTGAGAGCACATAAAACCTCATCCCCAATGATTGGCGGATTGCAGACTGCGGATTGGACTAGGGCCTTATGGGTTGCATGGGTTTTCAATGCTCCAGCATGAGGCTTCGAATTGCACTTTGCAGCGCGGATTCCAGATCAAGAAGATTACCGACCAGAACAAGGGCTAAGCGGATTACGGATTGTTATCGGGAACCAATGGATTTCGAGCAGACTAGAAATACCCCTCCTCCCTCCCCCCCTCCTCCTCCTCCTCCTCCTCCTTCTCCTTCTCCCTCCTCCTCTTCCATAGTAGGGCTCTTCTTCTTTTCCTTGCCCAAGTTAATTGCTATGAATCGTTTGTTTAGTGGCGTTCCCATTAAAACCGAAAACCTTAGTTAAAAAGAGTCCTGGATTTCTACCTTTCGGGCCACTTCACCGGTTGCAACTGAAGGGGGGTTGGGTTGCGCAAATTCCGAATTCGCGCCAGGTCCGCGAAAAGCAGGGAGAGATTGAACTGGCGGCTTCCTCGGTGTTTTGGTCACTGCGCTTCCATGTTTTTTCAGCGCTCAAGTTAGGTAACCCGTAGTCAGTGGTTTGGATGATGGTTGGGGGATTTGAACCCGACTTCCTTTTGAAACCAAATGGGAAAACTGAATTTTGGGGAATTCTCACAACTACTTTTGTTGTCGGGGGGTAGTTTCCCTTTATCAACCAGTTAGAGTCAGAGGGTAAATTTGAGGATGTCTTACTACAATGGACCCAGCTCTACAGGATTAGGATTCTGGCCACGGAAAGCCATGGTAGGGAGTGTTTACAGACACATTTGTCAAAAGGGTCCAAGTCCTAGTTGCGCTTTCCAATTTTCGCTTCTGAACCTCTGATGGTGAAAGTGACTCGAGCCCACTCCTCCTCCCATTAAAATGTCAACGTCAATGAAGCCAGTTGTATTCCCTGCCTCTTTGCTTGCATTAGAGGATGTTCAGATGTCAAAGTCCGGTTGACACTAGCCGATTTGATGAGCTTTTTGTACTCCTCAAACGGTCAGTTTACAAGAGCATGGCTGTCCGCAGTGTCCCTGAGTATTCCCCGCGCGCTGGTCAGAGAAAAAAAACGGCCGATGGACATATAATATCAATGCTCGCCAGAGTTATGTTGGCTTCTGCGCGCTGGAAGAGACCCGCACACCCAAGCATCGCTTTGTCAAGCTGGGCATGCTTTTGCTGGCAACGGAATGCTCGGAAGGTAACCTGGTTGAAGGGGGCCCACTCATTTGCCTTTCAAGCGAACACTGTCAGCGAAGCCCCTCCCAAGAGTGCCAGGATCCATTGAGAAGTGGCGTCGGGCAAAAGTTCCGTAGTTAGGATTCTTCGAACCAAAGCATTGCCATGGCCACTGTGCTTTTCCAGAAAACCGTGGATGCACGAACTGCCCCAATTTTTCCAGGAGCCCCAGAACAAAGCTTCGATTCACCCGCCATCCTCCCGGATCGCTTGCCTCAGCCCCATCGAGGAATTGGAACCAGTGGCGCAGATGTACGCGCGAGACCGAGCGGCGGTCTCGCGCCGGGCTGGAGTCGCCGATCCAAATGGAGTGGCACAACGGTTCATTCCGAGTCACGAGTGAGTCCTGTGGTTTTGGGCTGGGCTTAACTCCTCGAAACTAATCTTGGTTGCTTCTGTGCGTTTTCGAATGCAGTTCATGCCAGATTGGGTATCCCTTCTCGTGTGCCGCTACGCGCGGGTTCGGATTGGGGATCCCCGGGCTTTCATCTGCGATCCGCCGCTCACACCCGCCCAAGGCGATGCTGGACTCCTATTTGCCCAACATCCTGGACAAAGAGGTCCATGGGTTGGTGGGTTCCCTGTAAAGTGATATGGAACCCAGAAGGGGGGCCCATTCCCAAAAGGAGATGCCAAGGACGGATTTTCTGGGTTCGGTGTTGAGGGGAGTGGTTCGCACTCTGAGAAACCCTGGTTTTCTGAGGTCGGACCGGCTTGCACGGGAGAAGGGTCATGTTCCAGCAGGTTTTTGAAGGACGTTCTCGTAGGAGAAGGCCTTGTTGCATTTTCCTTGGTTGTTTTAGATAACATGATCCGACAGGAACATGTAGTTGGAGTTCAGTTTGGCACCTTTAGAACACGTGTGAGCTGCGGGTCTCGTAGTTGCCTCCAGCCTTTTCGCACGGGCAAATTTTGATTGGATCCCGGCAAGTGAAAGGGTTGTGGAATGCCAAGGCCCTTCTCAATCTGCATGCTGGCAAGAGGTGGGTGGATCTCAACAAAATTCAGGACTTGTCGCTGTCCTTTAACGTGCGGCCTTGGGGGCCATGGTGTGCATCTACGCACGCTCGCACCTTTGCACATGGATGGAATGTCTCAGAGTCTCAGAGGTGACCCTGCAGCATTGTGGAAGGTAAGTACAAAAGGTCTTGGGTTCAGGTGTTCAAACACAAAATGCATGTACAGATCTTTGTGGCATGTGTTCGCGCGGGGGCGTGCGTGTGAGTGTGGTATGTGCAGGGGTGCGGCGGATTGTGGATTCTGTCAATGTTGCAAGTGAAGCCAACACATCCACAGTCACTTGTGGCAAATTGAAGAGTTTCCAACGTCTTGTCTCTAAACGCGGGGGGGGGGGGAAACCCAAGATTGAAAAGATATAACAAAAGGTACCAATTCCGTAACGGTCGACCCGCGGTTGGCTAGGAGCAAGATGCCCGGAGCATGCTGCAGAGCAGTTGCGGCCTGAGAGCTGTGCTCGAACTTAGGCAGATGAGATGGGGGACTCCTGACCAACAAAGCTGATCAGAACATAGACCCTTCGATCAGCACCTGAGGTCCTAAACTCTGTCCGGGGGAAGGCGTTTAGCTGTCTCTGGACAGAGGGTCTGGGTTTAGTATTTGATGGGTTTGGGATGTGCGAATCATGTTTTTGATAGGGTGCATTTATTCATAGAGGGAAGGAATGTTTTCCTCTTGATTGCAGCTTCATGGCTAGCCTTGAATGGTACAATGTTGACCCCTGCATGTCTCATGATCTGGTGCAAAATAGGCCATCAGCTGGTACAGTGTTCATGTCAGTTGTTAGTTTCCCAAGATATCCTGATTGAGACCCAGGTTCGGTTTCCCAGTTTCAGTCATGCCCTGAGTGCCTTTTGATTGATCCCCCCCTTTTTTTCTGCAAGGATAGTTCCCAGCTCACCGGCAAAGGCCGTGGAGAGATATTGCCCGCAGGTTGTGACACAGAGCTTTAAACTCTTTCCGGAGGAACTGGGTGCGGATGGAGATTCTTTTTCCAGACGCAACCGATGCACCCGCTTGAAATTGCTGACTCCATGCATTCAATGAAGGAGGGGCCTGTCCTTGGTCTTGTTTATTTGTGCTTGGCGTGAAGCCCAAAGCACGGCGGGCTTTTCACTACTCTTTTGTTGCAAGGGAGCCAGATCTCCTTATTTTCCACTTTGAAACAGCCACAAATCAAGCTTTTCTGAGTTTCCTTGTTTTTCACTTGCTTCACATGTGCTTGGCACACACCCAAGCGTTTCCTTGACATCTTCTCGCCTGACAGAAACTCCGGACCTTGTCTTCCAACCGCAGCCGCTGCCTTCAAACGGGAAGTCGACTCAAGGCGTCGCAGCCATGGCAGTTCGGCGCAGGACGGGCTCTCTGCTCCTGGCTTGCCTCGCGAGCCTCGCCCTGCGTGAGGCCTTCGTACCTCAAGGCGGGAAGCATTTGATAGGCGCCTTGCGCGCGAAAGAAACAAACACAGGTTTTGGGTTTAGCCCTGAGGGTCTCAAGTGCCTTCGAGGGAGAGACTTTGATACCTTTTGACCCCTCAACAGCCATCCTCAAGAGGCAACTGGACCCTGTGGCTAGTGGAAGGCTGAAAATGGTCGACCAACCAAAATTGTTTCCACCGGGCACCTGGGGAACATCAGGCCAATGTAGCGAGACTGCCTGGTGGCATTTTTGCTGCCCTGTTGGCCGTTCAGGGCCTCATAGGGCCTCTCCCTGTTTTGTTGGGGGTAGGGTAAGGCACTATATCATTCTTTGTTTTTGTTTTTGTTTTTTGGAGGATACGCTTTCAGCTTGTTCTGAGGGGAAACCCAAAGGAAACCACACCCTCTTCTTGGGGGTCTCCCTATTTCACATATTCAAGCGTCTTTTCTATCAGGTCGGGGCTGAAACTTCCTCTCGGCCTTTGGGCCCTCACGGGCGCGACTCGCCCACCCTGTAGAAAGTCATTAGGGTTCTAAAGACGCGTCAAGATAAGCATTCATCTTTATTTTAAGTCCCCTCCCATCCTTTTCACATGGAACCAGGGTCGTGAGCGGCCTGCCATTTGCGGCTTCCCCGCGTACTCCGCACCCCCAAAGCTTGGTACACAAGTGTGCTGTGTAGAAGGATGCTTTCATCATTGGGAAATGTCGCTAACAAGTTTGGTTCGCATATCCATGGGAATTGCTTGAATTTTGAAGAGGTTGTTGGTGCAGGAGTGACTGCTCAGTTTGTTGTGTTCAGGTGGCCTTCTTATGGAAGTTAACAATCAGACTCAACAAACATCCTGAATGCGTAGAAACACCTTGTAAGTGCCAGCGAAGCCCGGGAAAAGTAGGTTGCGGGGTTCATTTTTTTGGTGCATTGAGCTCACTGTTTTTTGTCCCTGACTTGGGGAAGCCTGATAGCAAGTTTGTGCGGATGATATCCCAGAGCAATCTCCCCGTTTGCCAATGGCAATGGGGTTCCCTTGTGCCTGATTGGCATCCCACGGATTTAGGATTTGGATTGTCGCCCGAGTCTCTCCTTACCCCCCCCCAACAGGATATTCTACACGAAGTTAAGCAAGGGTTTGGGCTAACTTCCTAGCTGGTTTCTTAGACTTGCCATAGATTCTGCCCGCCCACTATCAGTAGAGGATGCCAATTTGGATCAACGTGGTGCCTGGCAACGTGCTTGGGGGCAATGTCCAAGAAATACCCCCCCTTACCACAACCCTTACATTTGCCCCACCCCCGTAACTCGGTTCTCTCACCCCCTTACCGCGCAACCCCGAAACCCACCCATGCAGGGTTCCATTTTTCACCACCTGCAAATAGACTTAAACCGGCCCAGTTTTTCCCTTTTTGAGGTACATGACCCAAGCCTGGGTTTAAGTCATTTTGGATTTTGGCAGTCAAAAATTGGAACCCTGACCCCATGTTTTTTTGTCAGCCGCCGCCCGCCGCCAGCGCGGAAAACGTCGCCAGCGAGGCGTCTCCCGGAGCTTCTGGCGGGCGCTGCCGGGTTTGAGCCTCGCGGGCTTCGCGGCGCCCAGTTGGGCGGACAAGGGGGTGACCAAGCCTTGGAGCAAACGACCCGACGGCGGGGAGGACGGGAGACGTTCGAAAAGGCCACAACGGTGGTGGGGGAGGCCCCTGTAGTGGTTAGGATGGGTTTGTTAACCCATATCAATCCGGGGTTTCCAGCAAAGGAAGCCAGGGGCCAGTGAGAAAAATCACCCAACTGGCTGATTTAGAGTATCCGGCTTCTTGCATATTTGCCTTCCTGGTATTCCTTCACACCTCCTTTCAACCAGCAACAAAATAGTTTTTGATAGGCCGGAAGCCTGTGGATCATAGATGACCAAGCTGCTTCGGTTTCCTTTGGGTTGCCTTTGCTGCAGCAATCGTTCTTCCCCTTGGCGGGGACGAAAACGGAAGCAACAAATGATGCGCATGATGGACCAAATTTGGGGGTGTAGGAGAGTAGTAAGCTGTTTCCAAGGGGGGGGCTGTCTGAAAACGATGACGGTCCTCCTTTGGGTCGACGTGTGCTGTTGAACGTTGAGTGGGATGTTTCAAGGGCATATGGCGTCCTGGCAAATCTCCATATCAGCGCAGTCAGGTTTTCCCCCCCTTTGAACAATTTCCAGGCACCCTGAAACCGCCGACATAAGAAGACGAGGGTGCGTCTGTTGTTTTCACTATGGACGTCAAAAGGCCAAAAACCGGAATTCCTTTGATTCGAAGCGTGTGCAGCTTTCGTGTTCGTGGGGACCGTCGTGAGGACGAAATCCACGTGGGCGGCGTCGAATGGGACGCTCAGGTCTTCTAAGCTGGCTGCAGTTGATGCGTTGATTTCCGAAGGTTGGCCCATGTTATTTCGACCGGTCTTGTCGTCAGTGGTCTGCAGCAAGAGGTTGTCCCTTTTGATTTGTGAATTTCACATGGGCCTTCGAGGCCTCAGAAGCGCGGAATCAGAAGCGCGGATTCAAATCCGACAGAACCCGAAGGGATGACTTTCCAGGACCCTGTCAGAAAGTCCTACTTCCGTCTTCCGGTGTGACTTTGGGGTCGGGTGGTCTGGACCCTCCGGACCAAGGAAGACGTGAAGGTGGGCACAGGGGCCTCCCCGCAGATCGGGGACCAGATTGGTCTGCGGTACACCCTGAAGGCCTTCGTGCGGGAGAGAGCAGCTTTCTCCAAAGTTCATCTTTTGACCTTTTCTCACTTCCTGAGTTTCTGGACCTTAAACTTTTTGGGAAGACCAGTTCAGGGGTGAATAGCAAACGGTTGGACTTGTGTTGGCCAATTCACTCAGGAAGTGAGTTTTGGCTTTCCCTTTGTCGATTTCCATGTGTTTGACCCTTGCGGGTTCCATTTTTGTGTGGCCCCAAAAGGTGATCATCACCAAAACTATGTTTGGGTCACTCAGGGGAAACTGAGGAAGTCGTCGTAGAGGATATCAAGGACAAGGCCAAGGACGGTTTCAGCGGCCAAAAGAACCAGTGGCGCCGTGCCCAGACCCGTCATGAGATGCATTTATGTACATATGCCATTGTATAGCGTGCTCCGGTATGTATTTATGTATATATATATATATGCATACACACACACACATATATATATATATATAGTATACACCTATATATGTATGTATGTCAAACCGGCATTGGGGATGAGACACCCCCTGCATGGAGTTTCATCATGTCTACGTGACCGCCACCTGTTTGCCACTTCAGTAAGGTCGGATTTCATGTAGATGTGCATGGACGCATTTATTGGCGTTCGACCTCTCCCAAGCGCTCCTCATTTGAAGATCCGTTGTTTTGTTTCCCCTGCGTTTGAATTGTTGCTGTGCTTTGTTGGAAGGGTTCTACCTAACATGGATCAATTTTGGAAGATCCTACTAAATGGACACCGCCCCTTCATTGGTATAGTTCGCTAGGTCAATGCAAAGCGGGCAGTTCGAGCTGTACAGCCCCATACAGCCCCCCACTTTTGCCAGGGATTCTTTTGAAGGAGAATTGCCAACAGCCTACCTAAGAACAATAGCTGGCACAAGTGCAGAACTAACCTTTAGAACAACATCAAAAGGTAAACCCCTAAAGAACAGAGTCAACATATAACAGTTCATTGGGGATTCTGAGCCTTTCCATGTTGGACCTCAGCTCTTTCTTTTTCCATGTCGAAATCAACCTTACGACATGAAGCCTTACGGATGTTACTCTTTTGGTACAAACAGCTGGGCAAAAGAGCAGACCTACGATTGCAACCGTTCCAAATCAGCGACTGTACTGTTTGACCAAGTTTTAGTAGCAGGATTGCATACTGGAATGTCAAATCGCTCCAAGGAACTTGAAAGTTGGCGAGCGCCTTTTGCGATTATGACCAAGCAATGCTAAAATGAAGCCCGAAGGCTAACAACTCCAGTTTGTTTTGCAACCCAAGCATGATCTTGTACCCGAACAAGCAAACAACTCAACGTCAAAGGCAAAGTCAACGTGAATCCAACTCCAGGTTGGTGCCTAGTTGGGAGGCCGTGGCTGGCGTTTTTAAATGACAGCTTGAATAAATAATGCATGAAACCGGATCCAATATTCTATTCCAAGTCACCCCGCTATACGCCTGGAGTTTACCTTTTGAGGTACAGGTAAACCAGTTTGTTTCCAGGTGGAGACTTCAACATGCACAACCAGCCGCCAACTGTGATTCGCAAGATTCGGTCACGGCCGGCCTCGCGTTTCTTGCTCGCAGGACTTCAGATTCGGCGTGGGTCAGCTTCTCCCGGGCATGGACGAGGGCATCCAGGCAGAGACGAAGGGAGAAGCGGGGCAGGGCCAAATCACCCTTGTTTGTCTCGTCCGACCTGACTGATTAAGGGGAGGTTTTTTTTGTTTGTTTGGTGTGTGTGTGTATTTCAACCGTATTTTACATTTAAGGCTCACGACATGATACAAATATGGACCACTCTGCCAAGATTACCCCCAAACCACACCCAGGCAGAAACGGAATTTATGCCCTTTAAACAGCGGTAGTGATTATTGGAAGCCATTTGCGAAAGACCCGCTGACCCGCTTTTGTGTCATCTCACCGAAAAGTTTAATTAGTTCGAAAGTTCAAATCGCCAAGACCCGCTTTTTGTGTTTTCCTTCCAACCGCATGACCTGACCTTGCTCTTATATGATTGGTGGTTGCATTGGGTGCCTGGGGGTTTGAACTCCTTCCTCTTGAAACAGAATGGGGGCCCCCGTAACCTCTAAACCACCAACCCAAGCTACCAAGGGAGCTACCAAGGGGCAAGATGTTGGGATGTTTCTATCACCAAGACAACTATCTTCTCCTGGTGTTCTTTTTCGCCGGGCAGTTGGACGAGATCGGCAAAACGAAGCTGGCCATCAGTAAGGGATGAGTTGGAATCACCTCGAACTGAACCATCCCATCAGGTAACCTGTTGGTGGTTTGGATTGCTAGAAACTAGGGTTTGAACCCTGGATCTTGTAGAGGGTAAATGATAAGATAACCCCGTAACCTCCAAACGACCAATCCAGAGTCTGAAGCTTATTACTGTATAGTTCCCTTTCAGCTGATCCATTGGTTCATTCCCAAATCCTGTTGATCCCCTGGCCTGCAGAGAGCCAGCAGCGTGCTCGTTCGTTTAGTCCGTCGGAAGCCGCGCCGTTTGCGTGCGAGCGCAGGGCATGAAGACTGGGGGCGTGCGGAAGCTTGGCGCAAAACAGACCTTTCTATAGGGGTCTTGCTTGGTGCTTTGTATTTGTTTTCAATTGTTTGCTTGGTTGGCTGGATGGTTATTGGCTTGTTGGGGTGCTGTTTGGGTGTTCGAGAGTTCCAACATTTCTGCCTGCCGGTTTTAACCATTACTTTCTGGGGCGATTCAAATTGAGCTTCCTTTTGCTGGGCTGCTGTTGGAGGGGGAAGTAAAGGTAACTATGTGTCTTGATTGTTTGTTGGAGATTGCCACCCTCAGTGGCTTGAGGCGGCGCTGCTTTTTTATTGTTGGTGTCAAGCTCGTCGAAGGGAGATTACCATGATTGGTGTGTCTTTGTCATTTGGATGTGTCGAGGGTACCCTTTTTAGGTGAGCTATATACGGTTCGGGCTGATTTCCTGTGGCCAATGAAAGTTGTTCGGTGCCTCGCGTGGCAGTTCTTTCTCTCGGCCGATATGGATCAAGGTTTTTTCGCAGGCACCTCAAAAAGGACATCAAAAGCATGAGCAAAAGCCCGGTCAGTTGTCCATGTCCAGCAACCCCTTTCCCGCCACTTTTGTGTTTAACAAGCAGTGGTTGGCGGTGGGGGGTGCTGAGTGTTTCCTTGTTGATTCCCTGGTTTCAAAGGAGTATTGGTGTATCTTAAGATGGCGGGAACCCCTCGGTCTCCCTATTCGTTCTGTGAGGCTCCCTTCCAAAAAGGTTGAGCAAGGCCGAAGGATTTTCCCCATTTCAAGAACCCGACAGCAGGACATAGCAAGAAGCTGTGATCCATGCAGAAGTTAGGATGTGGGTTCCCAGTTTGCTTCTGTGCTTGCTCACTTGCTTGCTCACTTGCTTGGTTGGTTGGTTGGTTGGTTGGTTGTTTGCTTGCTTGCTTGTTTGGTTGCTTGGTTGCTTGCTTGCTTGGTTGGTTGGTTGGTTGGTTGGTTGGTTGGTTGGTGGGTGGTTTGCCTGGTTCTTTCTTTGGTCTCGGTTTGTGGTCCCCGGTTTCCCTCTTGATCTCTCGCGCGCAAGGAAGATGCGGATCCCCGGGAACTTGGCCTTCGGCGAGAGGGGCTTGCCCTCGGCGCCCGGGCGCATGGCACTGCCCCCCTTTCAGCCGGTGGAGGCGTGGGACGTGGGACCCTGGAAAGGTTTCGGGTGGGGGGACCGGGGGGTGGGCCGGTTTTGAACGTGTAGGCGTTTTTTGGGTGCCCACACCTGGGGCTAAGTTGGAAGAGCTCGCACGGCTTGTTCTTCAATATTCTTGGTGTACCAGTGAGAGTTGTGGCACCCGTTCCAAACGGACGTCACCAGATTGTGTTGAAATGGGGTAAGTTGCCCCATGTCTTGCAATCAGATCTGGTTAGGGAACCAGCAGTGAGAAATACAGGCAGATGGGTGCAAGTCCATTTCGTGCCATTTGACCACCCTCCCAGCCAGGAAATCATGACAATGGCCCACAGACACCTTTGACCATGGGCCGTGAGGATATACACTTGCATCACCATCCGTACATGTAGGTGTATAGCAAAGGTGTTGGGTGGTTGTGCCAAGGACTAGATGCTGTGGGGTTGCACCAGGTCGTGGCGGGTGTTGGCTTGCTTTCCGAAAGTATGGTTGTAAAGGAACTGTCCTTGGTGTTTTTGCTTGGTGTCCCTTTTGACGTTCTTTGCTAACGGGTAAAGCACCGACATCAGGGTTCCCTGCATTTTTAATGATTGTTGCTTTCCAAAGGGGGAAACGTAAGGAACCTGAGAATTGGACCGTCATCGCATTAATTTTGGTCAAGCTGGCTGGGTGTCACCCAAGCTCGCTTGCAATCGGCACTCAACCTCTTTGGGTTGGGAAGCACATTCGTGGTTCTGGGTGTGACAACGTCCGCAGTGGAAGCTTGGTGGACAGGATCTTTTTGTTTAGGATGGTGCGTGATGGCAATTTGTCCTTCTTCTTTTTTCTTATGCCAGGACGGCCTTGGCGTCCCTTGCAGTGTTTTTGGGCAGGGATCTCCCCAGTTGAACGACCTAGTGCTAGGGCCTAGTGTTGTATCAGCCCTTTGTTCAACAAAACCGCCCCTTGTTGGACGTGTCGCGCAAGGCCACCGTTACCCTGGACTTCATCCCAGGAGCAGACTCCGTGTATGACTACGGAAGCCAGGACGACTCTTTGCTACTCTTAGTTGGGGATGTGTTACTGTATGTGAAAGGGGGTCCCCCAAAGTCGTTTTTTTTTGCTTTTGGTCCCCCTTTGTATAAACCAACCAGGAACATTCGAAAGAACACACCCAGTTGCACATACTCAATGGCAGACCATACTAGGCCATTTGCAATTTATCATTCTTGGAGTTTCTTCCTTTCCCCTTGGAAGCAAAACTGTCACTTTTTGCAAGGGGTTTGAGCCTGGCCCAGTTACGTTGCTTCTCAGAATCATGGACGACTCCGGGTGGTTTCCTTTTGGTGTCCTTTATCGCATCCAAAGGGTTCCCTTATATATCCAATACCTTGTTGTCGTCCATTGCCTTTTCTGGCTCCAACACGTGGACGCTTATTGTAACTGTGGGACATCATGCTTGCATTCAAGGTTGTTTGAGCGTGCGTAGTACGAGCTCACACCCCCCTTTCTAATTATTCGGGCGCTTATAGTACACCGACTCGGGATTTGCTCATCTTTGGCAGATGAAGATCTGTTATACTCGACCTTGTTTAAGTTTGTATCATGTGGGCGTCTTTGGTGCCGGTGAGTTGAAACAACCGCGTGCTTACCTGCAAGCGCACTGAGGACGCGTGATCTGGAAGCCGGGTAAACAGACTGATTTTTCGGCGCGAATCGTATGAATCGGCCGCCTTTTCCGCACACCTCGAGGTGTCGTCCGGCAGTTGCGATGCGGGCCATGGCAAAAAGGGCTTGAGCGAACTCCATCATGGTTTTGTGAAATTGGGGCTCAAGCTGGCCAACGGTAGCTTGCCGCTTGGAATTCCATCGCCAACCCCCCAAAGTTCAGATTTGGGATTGCTGTTCGGGAGCGGGTGCAGCTTCGCCCATCTGAACCCCTTCAGATGGCGTCAGAATGACGAACTGGAAGCCATGTATTTTGAGAGCTGCAGTTTCCATGTGCTTTCTCAAAATGCGCAGTTTCTCCGACCTCAAAATTCAGGTTGGCGTCCCTTTTTGTGTGGGTTCCACCTCACTTGGAATGTTCACGCACCCGATAACTAGGGCATTCATCTTACTTTGATAGTGTCAAATGGAAAGCCAAAAATAAACCATCAAGTTAAAACCAAACAAAGACTTCGGCATGGTATTTTCAGAAGGTAATATAGAAGGCCCAACTCCCCCAACATCTTGGCCAACAAATGCTTGAAAACAATAGCTTTGGGCAATAGCCACAGTTTCAACAGGGGCCAGCTTGACGTTTTATAGGCAACATATTATTTGTGTGCTTGTTTGAAGGTACCATTTTTCCGTGGGTAGGTCGATACTGGAAAACCAGGAAGCACGCCACTTCGAGGGTCCACCTTTTCTGTATTTCCAATTGTCAAGCAGCCGAGTTGGGGGCACATCCAGTTCCCTCTGCAGAGGGTCCACCTATTTGTATTCTCAGTTATCAAGTAGCCGAATTTCCACAGGGCTCCTTAACAGATACATTTTGCCCATTTGAAACATGGCATTTTCCGCCAAAATCAAGGGACACCACCATCTACAAGGCAATGTTCAGGTGTAGAATGTAAGGATCCCTGTTCCACTGGTCAAATTAAAACTTTCTGGGGATGTGTCCAGTTCATCCCGTTTTCTGCGCCCCAGGCTGGGCCCGGCTGCTCGCGGAGAGCGAGACCCGGCACCTGGACCGGGTGAAGTCGAGACCGATCCACAGATCGGAACGCCGGCAGAAATACGTTGCCCAGTGGTGCCCCTTTTTTTTCTTCTCTCCTTTTTGGGGAAGGGTTCCCCTGAAAAGTCAACCAACCAAAAAAGGATACCGTTTTTGTTTTAATATTTTTTCCCATGGCCACTGGGCATCTGAGAATACATTCCGGCTCATTGTGGCGGTGTTCCCTTCCAAGAGTGATGAACCCTTCTCACTAAAACTCCCATGTTAGTAAATAGGGGGTTGTTAGTGCGGGTTTAGTTGAGTTTGTTTGAAATGAGGATTTTCCGACTGACCTGCAAAGAAGGTAAACAACTTGTTGGTAGCAGCCAGCCATCAAGACAATACGGGTTTGTGTTTGTTTGGGATGCGAGCCATCTAAAGGGAAGCATTCCATGGGTCAAATAGAGGGACTCGTTGAACAGGTTCTAATAAACTGGGCCCGATTGGTTGCACCGCACAGCCATGATTCTGGAGCCCATTTGTTAACAACCGTCTACGTTCACTCAGTCAAATACTTGCTGATTCTCAGGGCACCCGCAAGGGTTTTGGAATGAAATTAAAGGGTTTCCCTAAGAAACCACGAGGTTCAGTTTGGGGGTCATTCCTTGCTTCCCCGGTTGGCTCGCAGCAAGATCAAAGGTCCCAAAATCCATCAAGATCCGTTCGTTCCGCCTGTTGAGACTTGGGTCGTGGGTGAAGATTTTGTGTCGGTTTTGCAGGCTTTGAACCACATGGGACCCAACATATTTGAAGCTGTGTGTGTGTGTGTTGTTGTCAGCAAGCACGATCCGATCTCCTCGGTCCGACAGGGGTTTCAGAGACCCAGAGGTTTCCTTTTCGAGAAGCCTTGGGCAACCAATCCGGGCCAGGCACAATGTTCTTCAAAAGCGCCGATGGGGTCTTACGATAGTGGATGGCCCATACAAATCCTCCAAAGTGAGATGTTGAATTTCATCGTTTCCAACCGGAACCTTGTTGGTCCCATTTCTTAGCCTCAAGACCATGCGCGAATCCCAGGTCTGAAAACGCGCATGCCCTTGGATGTTTCCCGTGACCGGATTCGAGCACTTTTTGTTCAAGCGGCAAGTGCTCAAGTGTCCTTGTGCTTGGATGATGTGTTGAAGGGGGAACGTAAGGTCAAGAGGACAACACTGACTCGTCTCGGAGGTGCGACCGCCCCAACACTTGGACAAGATTGCAGGGGGGAATGCTCAGCAAATCGACTCAGGATTCTGGCCAAGCAAGACTCGGATCACTTGCTCTTGGCTATGATGTCAGGGAGACGACGTGCATGTTTAAAGTCAATGATCGGTTGGCCTATCAGAAGGAACAAGGATCTGGTCGGTGAGTTGTGCTCTTCCCGAAGCCCCTCTCGGGGAATCTTCGGCAGCGCTGCCGTGCTATTTTTTGTTGTTGTGCCACGCCTGTCTGAAATGTTATTGGGTACGGCATGGTACAGCCTTGTGTTGGACTGTGTTTTCAGGGTTGGGATTCCCGCATGGGCAGTCTTTTTTTTTGGGGCGGCGGGGGGGGGTTTAGGGGCTCAGACAATGACACACACACACACAGGATTCCCTGGTGGTCATGTAAAGTGCCTGCCGAGCCATTGCCATGAAAATGAGTACCACTGACTTGGCACATAGACCCTCAATTGTGGCCCCGTTTTCTGTCCAAGTGCGTGCTAACTGTACCTGTTATGCCAACTGATTACTCGCTATGTACTATATACCCAGCTTAGACCGTCGTTGGGGTTATGGTGGGTTCGGCTCCTGTGGCTTCTGCGCGCAGGAGCTGACAGTGAAGCAGGTCCAGCAGGGCAGCCCAGTCGCCGTCCACGGGGGACGCGAGCAGATTCTAGAGGCGACTTAGTCGAACCCAAAGTCCCACACCGCTGGTGGTGCCGTGTTTGCCTGTTTTGGAAGGGGGTTCTCCACGCTTCCTATGTTGGAGGTCGCTTCCCACGTTGGAGGTTGGAAGGGGGGGTTCCCCCATACTTCCCATGGTCACAGCCGATTGCCATGGAACCCGACAGGCTCCAAAATGTGGCCTCCTCCGAGCAACCCTCGGTGAAGTTCGAGGCTAACCGTTTAGCACTGGACGAGACAACTGCCTGGGGTGCGGGCCCCAAATGCATACAGCATAGCGTATACCCTTCTTCAAATAAAGAAAGAAGTCAGGCGGCTAGCACATTGGCTTCCTGACTTGCAACAACAGACTCTGGAAACGAAACCTGCCAAGTCTGCATCTGAGCTAGCAAGTCTTTTTGGGCAGGCCCACATACACATGAACAGCGCCAAAAACCAAACAGTAACAACCCTTTAAACAGGTTTTAATGCGGGAACCATTCATATTCGCTGCTTTGTGATTCCCCCATGATGCCACAATTCCCTCAACTTAAGCCCCACTGGCAGTTTAAGGCAGTGTGGAGGCTCCAGCCACCGGTTCTTGTGGTCGAATGGTTGTGGGAAATCGGAATTAGGCTGCCACTTTTTGCAAAACCAAGGGAAACCTTTCAAAGTGATACAGTAAATGATGCATATTTGTACTCCAGTACTCCCCTGATTATCATGGAAACCACAAACCCACCATGTTTGGAGGAACCTCCTTTTGGGAAACAGACCCCCTTTGACTCCATGAGACGCCCGCAGCTCGCTTTGGGCCCATGCGGGGAATGCCGCGCCGCGCCCGGCGCGGGGAAATCTTCCCCGCGGCCCATGGAACCCGCGGGGAATGTGCCTCGCAGCTTCCAGCAGCACCAGCAGCAGTTGCAGGCCACCTTCGAGAAAAATGACAAACTTGGAACCCAGCAGAGAGGATCCCGTTTAGAGCAAAGTCGTCAGGTTCCATGTTGGTGTGTGGGGGGGGGTGCGCTCTTTCCTCATCCTTCACTTTGCTGGGAGTTGGCAAGCTGTCCCGGGGTTCCAGGAGGGTTCTGTTGCGTTTGCTTTCGGATTGCCAGCAACTACACAATTGCATCTTGCGCTGTAAGCTGGAAGGATCAGACACCAAGCAGCCTGACCTTTACACCAACGTTGGAGAAACTGCTGGCCCCAAAGCTGCTTGAGAGGTCTTCTTCTTGGGCTGGGCTGTTGGTTCTATGCCCTGCCATCCCTGAGGCGCAGTTCCCGCACTCCCAGGTGATTGCACGAGGGGCGCCGACAAATCTGCCGCAGGTGAGGCCGGTGGTGCCGCTGCATGGCGCGAATGGCGCTGTGGCGCTGGGCGCGCCACGTGTGGCCCCAGGCGCCCAAGGCGCCCAAGGCGCCCAGGTGCTCAGAGCCCCAGCCACGGTCGCAGCCAGACACCCGGCACCCCACGCACCCACAAGCCACGTGGGTGCGCCCAGCGCGCCGAGCGCGCCGAGCGTGCGGCCGGAGCGGCGGCTGGTGGCGCGCGTGGAGGCGACGGTGAAGTCGGCGCCACGCAACTTGCGCTTCGCAGACGGCCCTGAGGATGGCCCCTCCCCAGGAAGCCCGGACCGCCAAGCGCCCAAGTCAGCGCTGCGAAAGAGCGAGGCGCCGGCGGTGCCGGCGGCGCCAGCATCCTCAGGGTGCACAGCTTTAGCGCCCTACCGACGGAACGCAGCGGCGCCCAACGGCGCAGGCGCGTCAGGGCCCAGCGCGCCCAGTGCACCTCGCGCCAGAAGAAGGTCCTTACCTGAGCCCGAGCTGCTTGTGGTGAAGTTCCTCTACTTATCGCGGCTGCCGGCGGCCGGTTGGTTGCAGGGCCCGGCCCAATATCAACTGAGCCTGCACGTCGGGGAAGATGCTCGCAATGACCCTCCTCCACGACCTGGTGTCCACTCCACCCCCTCAGTGCCAGGACCTCAGTGGCGGTGCTCAAACGCGACCAGGGAGCAAAACCAGCTGGGTTTCCGTCTAGGTTGCACACATGTAGATTGACCACTTTATCTGAATGGATCTGAGGAGCGGGACTTGGACTACGCTTTTGGTAGGTTTTGACAGAATGTTGTGGGTGAGTCTTTTTGCCGGGTACTCTCCCTTTGTGCTTTTTAGGAAAAACGAAAAGAAAACCACCAATTGGAGGGGTCATAATAAGCTCAGGCGATATCCCCAACAGCACGCGGTGGTTTTTTTAGTGCTCGCACCACCGCAACCCTCGCAGAACCTCGGAACCCTGGTGGAACTCTGGTGGAACCCTCGTGGAACCTTACCTCAGGGCCGCCCCGGACCACCCCGGAGCCGCTTTCAGCTGTTGGGGAAAAAGATGCACCCAAATATATCATGATGCTAGCGTCAGTCAGCCAATTATTAGTTAACACCCCTGTTAATCCGCCACGCCAATCAATCCAGGGTTCCACTAACATTTACTATTTCAAGCACCCCCAACCAATACACCATAATACACCCAAGGAAATACGGGGCTGACATCCTTTATGTTATAGTGGTCGTATATCCCATGAAGCCTTTGCGGGTGTAGGGGAAAGTGGAAACCATCTTGGACCTTTCATCCTTCTTTTCTTTTCCTTGGGGGAGGGCGCGAGCTGCGAGGGAGGGCAAAGCAATCCATGAAGCGCTACAAAAAGGCAAGCCCATTTTTTCCCATGGCCACAGGCCTGGGCTAAGCACCTCCCATCCCATCTGCCTCAGCGACAGCTGCGACCCGAGGCCCGCGGGGCCTCCCCAGGCCGTGCCGCCGGAAGAGGCGGCCCTGAAGGAGCAGATCGCCAAGGCGGTCGAGGCGCCTCGGTCAGATGAGCCGCAGGCCATGGGTCAAAATCCAAATCGTACCCCCAGTGAACATCCCAATCCCCACTACAATAGGTTCTAAAATGGGTGGTGCACCTACCCCAAAATGGTACCATTGGTTTTGACCCACAGAGACCTATTTTGTTGGGTACCTTTCGCAGGTGTTGTCGGGTAACGAAGCTTTGGACTAAAACAACTGTTCGATCGGAATCAAGTGGGTTTTACAAAATTTGAACCCACAGACAGTCAACAACTTTTTGCACACGGGTCAACAGAAAACAAGACCTGTTCAGGTTCGGTAGACAGCGAATCCTTGTTGTTGTTTTTTTCTTGTGGGTCCTCTATGTTGTGAAATATGTTGGGGGTGGACGAACTGCGAAGAAACAGACAGAACACACACAGAACACACACATACTGCATACATTTGCAGGCAAAATGGGAGGAGCCAAGAAGCGCGAGGGGTTTTCCAATGTTCGCCGGGTTTGGGTGCTCAATGGAAGCCCATGGTTGGCTGATTGTTCAGGGAACCGCACCTTTTCGAGGGGGTAGCTGGATGTTTTCCAGCCTTTCAGCTCCAATGGTGTCAAAGCGGTGCAGGATTTCGTCCACCCACAGTAGGTATCCTTCTAGTTTGGGTAGGTCACATAGTCGGTTCTCCTGGTTTCAGATCTGGTTCCTCGAAGCCATCAAGGACACCCGGGCAGTCGAGAGCTCAAAGCACTGAGTTGTGAACCTCAAGGGCCGAGAAGATATGTATTTCGCTTGCTATGTTTCGTTTCGGATGCAAAACGCATTGTTGCTGACGGAATGTGTGAGTTTTCTCTTGTGGGGAAAGACTCTTCCATGTGCTCCTATTACTTAGTTTCATTGAGGTGTGTAGTGAGGCCTTTGTACATTTTGTTAGCCATGCTGGTAGAACCAAACCACCAAGTGTTCTGGTCGCTGCACAAATTTGCGTTTGGTTTGGGTTGGGCTGGTTCTGGAAGTCCATTTTCCTGTAGGGGCCCTTTGTCAGGTTCCATGTTTGGTGTCGGCGGGGAATGGCTCCGTGGTATGGGGGTGTTTCAGGGCGGTTTTCAGAGAACGGTCCTGATTGCGGCTGAGAGCCCCAAGTTCACCACCCTCAAACATCGTTTTCGAAGCAGACTGTTGGGGGTGAAACATGGTCAAGCAGTTCTTTCGGATTGTTGTTTTTAAACCAACCTAAAATTGGTACCCTTGTACCATGGCGCATCTTGATCCAGCTTCCCTTATCTGAGGCAATGGTTTTGGGTGGGTTCGCCCCCCCCCCCCCCGGTCCCATGGCCACAAAATTTGAGTTCCCCCGAAGCATGTTCCTCCTCCTTGAGTACCCCAGAAATGGCTTCAGGTTTCCTTCAACCCCCCCGGGTTTGCACCCCCCCCCCCCCGATGCAAAATAGCGGTACCCCCAGAAGGGTGGTTTTACTACTTATTGTTTTTAATGTTTGTGTGTGTGTGCGTGCTTGTTGTAAGGATAATTGCTCCTTTTTCCCCAATTGCTATTGGTTTTAATTTCTTGTTCCGTTTTTAAGGTTTCTTTCCCCAACAAAATACGAGTAGAAGTCCCCCTTGACCCCCTTCACCCCCTTTGCCCCGGCCGTTGGGCGCGAGGCAATGGCTGATGCAAAGTCCATCGGATCGGAGTGCCGCTTCCGATCCGCGCGCATTGCCGTGCGCCTCAGCGAGGCAGGGCCTGGACCCGCCGCAGGCGCGGCGGTCGGATGCGGGCGGATTGGATCGGATCGGATCAGCGCGTGCGGGGGGTGGGGGGGGTGCGGGGGGTGGGTGGGTGGGTGTTGAACCACCCCTCTTGACTTGACTGCTTTCTCCAATGTCCCAAATTCTCCTTACTCTCCAAAAAGCATTGTGGTGGAAAAAAGGGGTGTGTAATGTCGACCCCAGATTGATTGACCCCTGTTTCTTACTATGGGGGGTGTCATGGGGTGTCCCTGGTTCTGGTAAAGGGATTTGTCACTTTTGGAGGGAAAGACACCCCCATATGCATAAACGGGCGTCTATTCATCCGGGGTCAACATCAATGCCACGGGGTGCTGGCAATGATGCCCTTTTATTGTGCTGTTGTTTTTTGGAGGGGATTTCATCATACCAAAAGAAAGATGGGGTATTCTGTTCCCATGGCCAGTCTGGGTTGATGGTTCCTGTGAAGGAAGGCAACATGATAGCCCAAGAAGTGCCTCAAGTAGTTGAGTCAAACTGACTGAACTTGTGTTTGGCGTGTTCTGCATCAGTGGTGCGTTCAGAAAGGTGCAAACAGTTTTTCAGTTTGCCTGCAATTCCCAGATCAGTTCTCCTGTCCACGCCATGGATGCAGGGGGCCCGGTGTATTTCCGCGTGGACGCCTGGTCCACGCCAATTTCCAGCGGGCTCTTCGGGAGTTCGCCCGCGCCCGCGCTCTTCGCGCGCGCCTTTGTGCCCCTGGTGGACGCGACCTGGCCGGCTGGGAAACTACCTTCCGTGAGTCAAAACCCCATGCCAATAGGGGGGTGTCCCCCCACGGACCGCTACACCAGGGACACCCCCTATTAATGAACACTTAATGAACTGGGGTTAGTCAGGGAGTTACCATGAATTAGTTGGGTTGCTGGTTTGGATTGCTCCAAAAGGGGTGGATAGTTCAATCCAGCCCCACTTCAACCAAAGGATGCAGTAAATAGTGGTAAAGGGGTTTGTCTCAAAGTAGGGGAATCCTCAAAGTGGTTGGTTTCCCTTGGGTGTCCCTTGAAGATCAACCCGAATATCGTCAAAGGAACCAAAACGGATATTCAATGTTTCAATCGGGCTCTCTGAAGGTTGAACAAGTTCGGTGACGCCCTCAAATTGAATCAACCAACCCAAAAGAGTTCTCCTTTGCTACCGGGTTCACTGGGAAGGGTGCTAGGGCAAGATTCAGGATCCTGCCCTGCACCAGTTCGTAGGTGGTTCATCCCAGTCTTCATAGGGTGTCATCCCTTCCGATCCCTTCCTTCCAACAAACAAAGTGTGGAAGTACATACCCCTTGTTCATACCCCTTGTTCATACTCCGTTGGCTTCCCTGGTTTCCAACCCACTTTATAAGCAGTATATACCCCTTTTTGGGAGAGGGGTATGAACATCAGCAGGCCTTTTGGGCTCATTTGCCTAGGGCTATGTAGAAGGGGTATGTACAAGCACCCCTGGAAACTAGTACGGGATGTTGTCCAGCCATGTCCATCCACAGTACGTGGTTGGTTTGCTAAAAGGTGATCACCCTTGTGACTATCGCCATGAGTTAAGAAACCACGTTGCGCAGAACTGGAATTATTCACGGTATTTGTTGAGCTTCGTATCTGGGTATGTGTCAAACAACATGGATGTCTATGTTCCTTTTGGTTTCCCTTGAACCCCCCCCCCCCAGTCACACACACACAGGCACAAGCCCATCTTGAGCGCGAAAAAGGCGCAGCCCCATTGGTGGTTTGGACAATTCGAACCCCAGTTCTTGCAAAGCGGAAATGGGAAGCCAGCCCTGAGCTCCAAACCGCCGGGCTCCAAGCCACCAAGAGGGCACCTGATCTGTGGGCACCTGATCTCAGGTGAAGTACCACCGGCGCGCCTGTACCTGGCCCATGATCAACGCGGCCGGGGAGGACGAAAGTTTACCCGCCTCTCGCGGAACAACAAGTGGCGTCCATGGGTGTCCTTTTGGGATTAGCTCGGATAGAAATAGACGGCGCCGGTTTGGAGGCATGTACCAGGGCCATCTAATCGACCAGAAGGACACCTGCGGCATTTGTGGCTTCCTGTGGGTTCGGGGGGGTGGGGGGTTGAGGGGGTGGGGCGTAGTCCGATTGCCAAGAGGCGGCTGTGGTCTCCATGCTCATTTGCTTTTTGGGTCCGAACTTAACACAGGGATGAGTTTTTTTTTTGGGGGGGGGGGGGAGATCACGTTGATCTGCATGCGTTGGGTTGCCCATTGCCAGATTCGCAACTGGCATTTTTGCATGGTGTTTCCTTCGGAGTGGTAGGCAGTTTTCCCGCTCCCTTTTGTGTTCTGAGTGGCAGGTGTCCGTAAGCGTCTTGTTGCAACGCGTGAAGTTTTCACCTCCGGATTCCCGGGTGATTCCGTATTTCCCTTAGGAAAAGCAAAAAGCAGGGAGCACCCGTACCGGGTTCACACGTGTATGAGGAGTCGGAAACCAGGTTTTGCAAGAGGCCCTCACAAAAAGTGATCCTCCCATCCACACGGAGCCTGACGGAGGCGTCCTGGAAGGCTCTTTTTCCTTAAAAGGGACCCTCTGACGGGTTCTGTGTTAGTCAGCAGGATGGCAAATCGAAACCAATGGTACCTTTTTTTGGGGTAGGTGCACCACCCAGTTTAGTCTATTTTAGTGGGGATTGGGATGTCCACTGGGGGTACGGGATTTTGACCCATGGCCGAACAGTTGGGAGGACGTGGCCTTCCTCACCTGCGAGTTCTCCTTCGCTCGGATACCCGCCGCAGTGCAGGAGTCAGCGCCCATGTGTTCAGACTCGAATTCGCCTTCCGCCTACTGGAAACCCTCAGGTTGCCCTGACGTGGTTTGGATGTGGTAAAGGGGAAGCCGCCCTCCAACCCATCCCAACCACCAGGTAAAGGGAAGATTATTTTTAGAAGGAGGGGTTCCCGTTGATTCATGTTTCCGTATTATGGGTTTTGACAATTGCCTTTGGGGGTCGCTTTACTTTTTAGAATGCGTAACTTTAGCGGACCTGACCAAGAATGAGGGCAACGTAACGTTGCGGTGTGTGCCCTAGCGCCATGAACTAACATTCCTTGTCTTGTTTGAAAGCGCACCCTAGGTTTGTTCAACCGCCCCGGCATCCCCTGGCTTCTGAGGGGTTGATTCCCAAACTCATCCCCAAAGCAAAAAGATTGATTCCCAAAACCCTCCTCCTTCCCACCCCCTCCCCCAAAAATAAACCAACCAACCAAACAAACAACCAACCAACCAAACAAACAACCAGCCAACCAAACAACCAACCAACCAAACAAACCACCAACCAGCCAACCAGCCAACCAAACAACCAACCAACCAAACAAACCACCAACCAAACAAACAAACAACCAACCAACCAAACAAACAACCAACCAACCCACCAACCAAACAAACCAGCAACCAACCAAACAAACAACCAAACAACCAAACAAACAACCAGCCAACCAAACAACCAACCAACCAAACAAACCACCAACCAAACAAACAAACAACCAGCCAACCAAACAACCAACCAACCAAACAAACCACCAACCAAACAAACAAACAACCAACCAACCAAACAACCAAGCAAACAACCAACCTAACAAACAAACAACCAACCAACCAAACAAACCACCAACCAAACAAACCACCAACCAAACAAAAAAACAACAACCAAACAAACAACCAAACAAACAAACAAACAAACAAACAACCAACCAAACAAACAACCAACCAACCAACCAACCAACCAAACAAACCACCAACCAACCAACCAAACCACCAACCAACCAAACAAACAACCAACCAACCCACCAACCAAACAAACCACCAACCAACCAAACAAACAACCAAACAACCAAACAAACAACCAACCAACCAAACAAACAACCAACCAAACAAACAACCAACCAACAAACCAACCAAACAAACCACCAACCAAACAAACAAACAACCAAACAACCAAACAAACAACCAACCAAACAAACAACCAACCAAACAAACAAACAACCAACCAACAAACCAACCAAACAAACCACCAACCAAACAAACAAACAACCAAGCAACCAAACAAACAACCAACCAAACAAACAACCAACCAAACAAACAACCAAACAAACAAACAAACAAGCAACCAACCAAACAAACAACCAAACAACCAAACAAACAACCAAACAAACAAGCAAACAAGCAAACAACCAACCAACCAACCAAACAAACGACCAACCAAACAAACAAACAACCAAACAACCAACCAAACAACCAACCAACCAAACAAACAAACAACCAACCAACCAACCAAACAAACGACCAAACAAACAAACAAACAAACAAACAAACAAACAAACAAGCAAACAAACAAACAACCAAACAACCAACCAAACAACCAACCAACCAACCAAACAAACAAACAAACAACCAAGCAACCAACCAACCAACCAAACAAACAAACAACCAAACAAACAAACAACCAAACAACCAAACAAACAACCAAACAAACAAGCAAACGACAAAACACACACAGCAAATGAGGTCGCTTCACCGCCCTCCCCCATCTTGGGATGCGCCGTGTGCCCCTTGCAGGACCTCCACTGCGAGTCCGCCACGGCCAACGAGGTGGCGCTGGCCTGGCACCCGCCCCCCAACGAGGCCCCGTCGTTGGCGTCTTTCTTTTCGTCGGCCCAACACGAGCCCCGCCTTGGATGGCTCACAGCCATTCGGCTCCTTAGCTTTTTGGATTTGTAGGGAAAGCGTCTTAACCCCCCCCCCCCCCCAGCCTTGGCTTCTTAGCTTCTTTGGGTTTCTTCGCGGTTTCCATCTAACCCACGAAAAGTGAAACTTTTAGCAGGGGATCTGCGGGCAGCCCAGCAACACTTCGTTGTAGAGGGTCGTTTTTTGGAGTTGGTTGCCTCCAACGATCCAAGGCATTTGCACTTAAATACACTTGTTCTAGAAGTTCGGTGAGGTGTGATGCAAATTTAGGCGACCCTTTGAGAGCCTTCAACCCTTTGGTTTCCTGGTGGCCAGTGGGCTGGATCTTTGGAACCTTTCACTTGGTTGAAACAGCTCGGGTTTTCCGTTGGACCCACACAAAAAGTAATTCACTTTTTGCTTGCTGGGGTCGTTACACAAGAAAAGGCGGGTGTTCCTTCTGGATTTCCCATTTACAAACCACGATAGGGGTGCTCTCCCTCCAACACTCATGGAAGCTGACAGAACGGTGTTGAAAAATGATTTTCCTTTTGAAGAAGCCTATCCACTTCCGGAAACAAACTCCGGTCCCAACTAGAACAAAGCACGGCTGTGAATTTTCATTCGGAGAAAGATGAAGGCAGACATCTGTTCCCCTTCCGTTTTTGACATGAAACATTTCCAACTCTAGACGTTCCTTGCCCATTTTCCAGGACCGCGTGGTGCCTCTCAAGGGCTACCGCGTGGACTCCCGCTTGGTGGGCCGCGGCCACCGCGGCGAGTCCGGCGGCTTCCACGCGGTGCCGGGCACCAGCTGGCAGCATGCGGGGGATGTGGACGCGCACGCGCCACGCCACGCGGAGAATTTGGAACCCGCACCTTGTGGCCGTAATACAAACAAACTGGTTTGCTTGGTCAGAACTCTTTTTTTTTTGGTTTTTTTTTTGCGCCATGGTCATGCTGCCTGAAATGGACATAGCCTCCACATTTTGGCCATGATATAGTTGTTGGATAGTTTAGATGGCCCCTGTACAGCCATTGAGCTATTGACAACAAACTAGTTTGCATGGTCTCACTCCCTTGGGGGACTTTCAACTTTTTCGGTTTGGACCATTTTAGTGGTAAGCAATGTGTTCAGATTGTTGTTGGCCAACGGATTTTCGCAGGGGCTCCCAAAAGCCGATCGCCATGGCCGTTTGAGGTTCACACAAACTTTGAAGCTACTTGTTCAAAGCAGACCTTTGACTCCTTGACCCCTTTAGTTTACATCCAGGTGCTGGTGGACAAAGGGCTCGCAAAAAGCGAGGGATGTGGAAGGGTGTCCTTTTGCTTGACCCCGATCCCGTTTTCGCCCTGTATTGCCGTGCCCCCACTTTATAATCAATCGATGGTGTCCTGCAATTTTGGTTGACCCTCTTGATACAATAATCCATGGTTGGTGGAGTCGAGGCGTCCCATGCCGGTGAGAAAACATAATCTGGTGTTGGTTACAGGGAATTCAGAAAATAAAAACCGCCCAGTGTTGGGGGACCCCCTATTTTGACGCATACCCAAAATGGGTTTCTCAAAATGGTGAACACCGCTTTCATTGGGCATGCTTTAATGGAAAATCAAAAGAGGAAACCCCAAGTGTGACCAGAAGGATCCAAGTACGTTGACCGCTTTTACCCCTCCAAAATCAAATCATCTTGGAACCTCCGGAATAAGCAAGTAAAGCAACCACCTACAAGCAATTTCCCCTGGCCAAATAAGTACGGGATGTCCGGACCCCTGAATGTGAGGGATCCAAAATGTGATGCTACCGCAATCAACCAAGAGTGCACGCATGCCAAATTGCACGAGCTCAGGGGGGGAGCCTATTCCAAATCAAGAAGTGTTTCACGCGACTCGCGGACTGGTTTGAACACTTCCTGAAGCGCCTTTTCCGGATCAAGGACCATGCAACTGCGACCATGAGACTCACTGATTCCTCCGAGGCAAACTGCAACAGAAATAAGATGCCACATGACACATGATGCCAGCAGCAGCACCAACACCACCAACACCACCAACACCACCAACACCACCAACACCACCAACACCACCATCACCACCAACACCACCAACACCACCAACACCAGCAACACCAGCAACACCACCAACACCACCATCACCACCAACACCACCAACACCACCAACACCACCAACGCCACCATCACCACCAACACCACCAACACCACCAACACCACCAACACCAGCAACACCACCAACACACCAAGCTAAATCCTTGCACGGAGCACAGCTTTCACAAGCAGACGCATGGAGGCGCTCACTGCCTTGCAAAGACGGCCGCGGACGGCGGCGCGCGACCGTGGCGGATGGGGCTACCAGCTCTACGCACTTCTGGAGGCGTTGCGGCTTGGCCAGACTGGGGGATTTGGATGGAACCCAGCTGCTCTATCAGTTTCCTAGCAGGAAGCATCAGAAGGCTTTGGACACACCTACGCTCTTCCCCCCCTACTCTTGGGTAACCTCGCCATTTGGATACATGTTGACCCCAAGCAATGTTTTGGGATTTGGTATGTTCCTTTTTTAAAACTACTTCTGGCTTCACTGGCTTCTGGAGGCGTGAGGCGTGAGGCGTTGCTACCTTGCGGCTTGGCCAGACTGGGGGGCCCAGCGGACATGAGTTAGGACTGTGGCTGAATATGTTTCGCAATGTTGATGATGGAAATGGTCCACAATGGCGGCCATTGTTCAAGAGCTATTGTCCAATGAATGGCCTGGTCTTGGGTCACGCCTGGCCTTGGGTCATGCTTGCCCAAGTCGCTTTAACGGCGACGGAATGACTCAACTATTCAGCGGCCCAAACGAATCAACTGGGGAGTCCGAAATGAGGCTGCTGGCCCGCTTGCTTCACAATGCTGAGCGCCTGCCAGAAGTTTTGCGCAGAGCCGCCAGCTTCATCTACGGGCCGGAGGTGGCAGCGCAGGTGGAGCGAGATTTGGCGAACCGGGAGATCATGGTGCCATCAGCGTCAACTCTGAGCAGGATGCGCTTGAAGCTTGCCCCTAGGCAGGCAATGAGCGCTAGCATTGCCGCACATTTGTCAAAGTGTGCCAGAGCGAGTTTTATGTCCCTACCCCCCGGACCCCCTCTCACACCCTCCCGGACCCATCCCGGACCCCGGGCCGGGCCCCCTGACCCCTCATGTTTGTATTTCTGCATTTTGTCTCTGCGCCTGTGTGTTTGCGCGTTTGTGTGTGTGGTGCGTGTGTGGTTGTCATAGATGAGACAGACACAGACGAACGGTTTCAAACATGAAGAGAATGAGAGATGAACAAGATAGGGCAGTTATAAATGACAGACACACAATTCCGGTAATGAAAAGGATTAATATCAAAGCCTTAGCAATGCTTTGGGGAACCTGCAAGCAGCAAGACATATTAAATTACAATGACAAGCCGGGAGTGTACATGAGGATGAGGATGAACATGCAAATAATCGGTACCAAATATTTTTAGCAGAAACAAACACACACAGACACACACACACACACCCACACACGCACGCACGCACGCACGGCACGCACGCATGCGCACACGCACGCACGCACGCACGCACGCACGTACGCACGCACGCACCCACGCACACACGCACGCACCCACCCACCCACCCACCCACCCACCCACACACACACACACACGCACACACACACACACACACACACACGCAAGCACGGACGCACGCACGGACGCACGCACGCACGCACGCACGCACGCACGCAACCACGCACCCAGGCACCCACGCACGCACGCACGCACGAACGCCTACGCACGCACGCACGCGTACGCACGCACGCACGCACGCACGCACGCACGCACGCACGCATGCGCCCACAAACTTGATTTTGAGGCAGTACAACGCTCTCCGTGCGGAGCTCTTGGTCAACTTGCGCAGAGTAGCTTGCACAGAGTCACCAGCATGGAGATACCAGCATGGAGATACTCGCGCAGAGTTACTAGCACAGAGTAGCTTGCACAGAGCTACCAGCATGGAGATACTTGCACAGAGTCACCAGCATGGAGATGCCAGCATGGAGATACTTGCACAGAGTCACCAGCATGGAGTCACCAGCATAGAGTACTTGCGCAGAGCCAAGTGCAAAGAGCCAATCGCATGGAGCCAAGTGCTCAGAGCGAAGTGCAAAGAGCGAGGTGCAAGGAGCCAAGTGCACAGAGCTAAGTGCTAGCCCGCCTCATCAGGAACGCCAGCAGCTGGCAGAGGTACTGAACGTCAAGTCGTTTTCTGTGGTGGCGTCCGACATCATAATTCACGATGGGATTTTGCCACTCCTGATATATGGTGAATGCCACGCCTCGCGCCTAGGCAGACTCACTAGAGGATGTGGCGTCCCAATCCGCATCACGAGCGCTGCTCGGGCGTCTTCGTTGGCTCTCGTCCCACGCAGGCTCCAAGAGCCCCCTGCGTTGGAAAAGTCGCAGCCGTTCAAGCGGGGGAGGCCAAAAGGACATTGCGTCACGCGAAGTTGCTGATCAGGCTGGATATCACGAGTGAACAGAGAGCGCCCCCTGCTGAAGAAACAAGTTGTCGTCCCTGGGTAGACAGGGACTCGGCACACTCACGCACACACACAGAATTGACCGGGCATCAGTGAGACACTTATAGCACATGTGCTATCTCCAAACGAGGGACCGTGCTGCCAAATCGGAAAAAAGCAACCTGAGCGCGCCCAGGACGCCATCCTCATGGCTATGCGGCAAAGGCAGTGGCAGGAAGATCCGCCTGTGTTTGTGATGATATCCACAGATAGTTCGCCGCAGGGGGGCTTGGACTACATCATGTCGATTGAAGACCGGGTTACCCGCGCTGCAGCGGCAGACCTTGTGGCAGCCGCGGATGATGAAGGGCGCCTCGATGAATGGCATGCTGAGGATCGAGTCTTCACTTCGCAGTTGCCCTTGGCCATCTCTGGATCTGGCAACTCGGGGCTTTCTGGGAAGTATGAAGCTCTGTTCCACTCTGTCAAGCTCGACATCGGGAACAAGCCGAGCGATCTGCAGCGCTACTCTATGGGGTCATGCGTTAGCTTCACCTCAGACTATGGCACGGAGAGCTTGTTCACGGAGGTGCCACCTCTTTGTGTGGAGGACTTGCTAGCAACAGCGCGCCTCCATTCTGGAAATGTGCTTGCAACTCCGCCGACGCCAGCGCGGCCTTCAGCCGGCAGCGTTCGCCTTTGCCTGCCGATGATGATGATGATGATGGTGCGCCAGGCCTGCCTGGACCTGGGCCTGGGCGATGTGAGCCTGAGCCGGAGCGACACTTCTGGACCTTGGCAGGGTCGCTAATGCTCCCTGGCCTAAAGCACGTCTTTGACAATGTCAGCGGAGACGTTCTTGGCCGGATGCGGGGCTTCCGGGACTGGCAGGAAAAGCTGCAGTCCTTGAACATGCTCCTCTACCAGAAGTACTACAGGGACCGCGTCAAGGTGCTCTTTGACAGGGACCCGGTTTGGAAGCGCCTCTTCACGCACTATGAAGGCGGTAACCTCATCCTTTGGAGGTGGGGGAGCCTTGTTGAAGTCTGCGAGGCCATCCAGAAGAGGGAGGGAGCCTTGAAGGCAAGATGGAGCCTGAGCAGTTTCCTGCGCGTCGGCCACAACCTGCCCGCTGAGGATGACGAGGAGGGACCAGCTCCCTTCGCGAGGGCAACCGCCACTGCCAACTTCAACCTCGCAGATGAGGCCATCAGGTCTCCGTACTTCTGGTGCTACTTGAGGATGATCTTGCTTGTCCACGGCATGATCAATGACTTGGGCACATGGGCTGAAGGGTGTTCCTGTCATGGCT